CATAACATAAAGGCTTCAAACGAACCTTTCTGAGAGGAAAAGCAACAAGTTTTCAGCTACGAATGAAAGAATGAGGTTTGGTTTTGCTTTCAAATTTTGTATATTCACATGTGTGTGAGCTTGTCCACAGTCTACCTGTGAAACACTAGTCCTGATGCTTCAAAGCCCTCCGGTCGCTGAGTTGTTTGTACCTGTGAAAAACCCACAGGGATGAAAGCAAAGCAGAGCGGCAGCATTTTCAGTTTGCTCCAGGTGTAAATGACAGGTGGAAACTGCTGGTGTTCAGGGTCTTTATGCTGCAACACAGACATTGTCAGTTGGAAATTATTGTCACGGGAAACCATTAAAGCAGCCTATTCCCTATAGAAGCCAAGGAAACTGTGTCAGCCAGGCTCTCCAGGGCAGAGCCAGGAACCGACCCTCCAACATGCCACCAGCTTTCACGCAGTGAAGGGGAGCTGAGTGTCTCCAGATCATCCCATAATTAATTCTTTTGAATCTTCCATATCGTGCCATGCTCCACTGCTGTGTGTCCCCTACGCCTTGTGTCACACTCTCTTTCACAGCAATAATTTAAATATTGAAACAGGTAAAATGTCTTCATCTTTGTATTGGCTCTGTTCCCTAAGAAGCATATGGGGATGTCACAGTTCAGACAGCTCTGCTTTCCAAATTCCTCTAGGCTTAAAGTATGAAAAAGAAGAAAGGATTCACAGAATTCAGGTCCACACCCAGGTTCAAGGCCCATATCATGTATGCTGAAAGAAAAAGGGAAAAGAAGAAGGAATCTGGAATATCTTTACAACCTTTACAGAAATATTCTGCAACTGCACTGGCACAGCTGTCATCCAAACTTGGGTCTGTGTCCATATCTCTAAAGGGGTCCAGGTCCACCATTTAAAAATCAATTTACATATTTATTAACCCCAGTAAATAGATGTAAATGACCCTGAAAGATATTGCTCATGAGCTTTTCTGTTGAAGGCAAATATTGTACTGAGATCCTTTGATCTGGAAGGATGGGGAGTGGACTGGAAGGGGCATGGAGAAGTATATTGTTAGGAAAAAATCCCTTTCACCATGTTTGCATGCTATGAAGACATGGTGAAAAAGCAAGCCTGTACCCCAGCTCCCCCTTTGCACACATCCCTTTTAATTATGATTATTTTGGAAGACAACTACCCAGCGATCTGCAGAAGGGACTTGCCTGAGAAAGCTTTCTCACGTTCACGTCTGGCTGCCTCTCTGTGTGAGCAGGGGCAGTGGTCCCGGGAGAGGAGGCAGGCTGGAATGCAGCGCGGTGCTGGGGGCCCAAGCCCCGAGTGGCCGGGGTCGCTGGGAGACCTTCGCCATCCAGGCCTCTGCTGCCTGCATAACATGCATACCCACACACAAGCTAGCGACTCATATGCACTCTTTTTTTTTTTTTTTTCTCTGTTTGCAGCTGGTCTATTTGATCTCTGTGTGCCTGGGCTGTTTGCTGTTGTGAGCGTCTTGCCATGATCAAAACCTTATTATCTCGAGTGATGTTGTAGTGTTATATATTGGAAAAGGGCAGTGGAGTATAGCAGCAGGCAGCTACAATGCTGGGCAGATAACAAAGGCACTAATAACCTCTCTCCAGTGTATTTGGATTCATTCACTGAGAGGACTGAACACCACTTTGCTTGTGATGGGTATGGACTCTTTCAACAGCTATTCCTTCTGCTGCTGTTGAGCTTGCGCAGTCGTACATCTCTGCGTATCTTTGTATAAGGCAGAGATCAGAGAGAACAGGACTGCGTCCATCTGTGTGGCTCTAGTAGGTCTTCAGTGGCTTTGATGTTGCATTTCACACTTCCAGCTTGTGACCACGCTGCTCATATACACTTGCTGCTGCAGGGATGGGCACCAAGGAGCTCCAACTGGAAGATCAAGCTACAGACATTTGACTTTCTGTGAACTACATTCAGCATCTTAGCAGCCTTTTCCTCAGCTTCTGGGCTTGATTTGTTTGCTTCATTGCTTTTGAGCTGTAAGGTTGCTGTTCCTGCAACATCAGCTCAAAGGTGTGAGGGGTGGTGTGGTGATAGCGACCCTCTGGGAGACCCAAGACTGTTCTTAACCAAGCAACCTGACAGTCATGACAAGCCATTTCCTTGTCCTGCTGGTCCTCATCACTGACTGACATATGAACAGCTTTTAGGTGAAGAA